CTAGACAACCCCTTAACATTTAAGATTTTTGTTAAGAAAAAATGCAAAACTGCTTCGTGAATTATGATAAACACACTAAGAATATCTGGAAATAATGATCATAAGATACATTGCAAGCCTTTGACTTACCCTGAGAAAGTAGGTAGTTGTTTTCCTTTCAGCTTATACAACACTGTTCATTTCTACGGTGCCACATTGAGCTGTCCTCCAGCTGATGGACAGTGGCCAGATGACCCTCTCACAGGTCGGACATCACGCTGTCAACCTGGATTACTGTGCATGAATCATCGGGTAGGAAGAGCAAACCGAGCAGAGGTTTAAAATGCAGCAACTCATAAGAATATCAACACCCTTTTAACTTTTCCACAATTTGTCACCAATAAACAAAGTGTTTTATCTGGATTTCATGGGAATACGCAAGATTGTGATGTGCTTTTGTAATGAGCCCTCTTTTAACTGCAATCAAGTGCCTTCAGAAGCTCAAGTACAAATGTTCGAGGAGTGTGGATATTTTGACAGGCACAGTTAGCTGCAGCATGGTAATCAGTGGATAAGCGGCAATCACCTCCCTTCCCCACCCGACCCTCTTCATGTTGTATAGGATGATTGATGAATAGATAGTAATAACTGGAAGCCTGATACTCCAAAGAAATGCGGCTTCATGATGTAGCAGGAACACCCAGTGGAATAAAGTGACATACTGTACATGTCACCAGGCTCCTAGAAACAACCCCGCTGCTCAAAAAGGGGATCTTCGTCTTTTGAAGAAACCAAATCCTTTCCTGTACACAAACGGCAGCAGGAAGCGGGTTATTTTTAGACTGATCAGCAAAGTGGCGAGTCCGCACAGAGGAAGGCATGGCATGTGAAGCCATGCAACAATTTCTAAAAAAGAACCGGAGGACGTTAGAGACAGCCTGTTGGCCTGATAATGTCAATATTATTTCTGTCATCTGAACGCTCGCCTCGCGACACGGAAACAGGCTGGAAATGAAAAACTCCCACTCCCAGGGACAGTGCTACAGCTGTTTAAATACAACCCTTGGAGAGGGTAATTCCAGACTTCCTCCTCTGCAATCTGCGGCATCACAGACAAGTGTCTCTGCTGGGAGAGGTCAACATTTCGGGAATCGTCTTCTTTTATTTTGACGATTTAATGACACAGAGACAGTTTGTGTGAAGTACAAAAGTCTTTCCCACATTTTCTAGATATTTTATTGGGATTCTCATGTTGTGCTGTAGGTCAACACAAAATAGCACATTAACACAGAGTGAAAGGAAGAGAGTTGTTCCCTACAAATAAGATGAATGTTGTGTGAGATGCATTTATATTCAGCTCGTCTGAATCACTACTTTGAAAAATCTGATTGATTGAATTATCTGCAAGTCTTTGGACTGATTTTTAAAACAAATTATTTTAGTTTTTAATAAAAACTCAAGCAAAGTAAAATCAGGTGAAATGCATCTCTAACAAGCAATTTCAAGCAAATGCTACAGGTTTTCAGATGATGTTGGGCTGGACTTGCCTCTACATTGGGGGTTGTTGTCTTTCTTACTCTCAACCCTTGATGTATAACTCTAGCCATCATCTCTGGTTAACTTCCAAATTTCTGTGAAATAGACTATATACACTACTTTGTGTTGATCTGTCATAAAATACACAAAGATCTGTGGCTGCAATGCAAAGTGAAATGGAAGAGTTCAAGGCCTGAGAACACTTTTAAAGGTACATCCAGTTCTGGAGAAACATATTTTTAAAGAAAAAAAAAGTTTAGAGCTAAGCTTAATGCATAGAGAGTGGGTATAGTGACCCCATTGAAAAAAACCAAAACAAAACTGGTATTAAAAGAATCGTAATGACTAGAAATCCACACAAAACAGGCTGGCAGCTTCAAGGAATCCTGCTTCATGTGACAGAGAAGCTAATGTGGACCTGAAGCCTGCGCCCACCTGTCCGGCTCACCCTCATTCTGTCACACATGTAGATTTGTCAGCTGCAGCTTGACGTGCGAGAGTGTGTGAGAGGCTGGCGGGCGGGTGCGAACGCAACACCGGCGCACACAGGCCTCGTCTGGCGTCTCCCTCGGACTGGTGTTGTTGTAATCAGATTAATTCAGGAGCTAATTAGTTTCTATTGGGCTCAGTCTGACAGCCGACGGTCACACAGATCCGTATAATAACTTATCAAAAAGCTGATTAACGCTTCAATCCTCCTGCATGCGCCTCCTAAGAACCAAACGCTGCGTGCCTGTCACGATTAGTTAAGCGTGAAGGAAAGACTTAAGCATCTAGATGTGGGAGGCAAACTCAACTCATGTCAGACTGATGTGTCAGGTGGGATTCGCAGATTATAACTAATAATTCCTTAAAAGAAATGAGCAAAATTAAGCCCAATAGAGTTGCTCTTTTAAGCCCTCTTTTGGACTATTTTGTTGTTGACCTTTGGTAGGGTACAAATGGGCCCTCGGTCACCTAATGAGCTGCATGTTTGCCAAGAAACTCAGAAGGTGAGGTAAATGTGAGGTCCTGAGGTGGTTGCGTTGGTGGACCTCTGCAGCAGGCCCGTCTCATGCAGCTGTGGCAGCACAACAAATCAGAGCTACTGTGATAGGTCCTGACAGCGGCGCAGCCTTAGCCACGAGCATAAAGCGCATTTGTTATGTAACGGGCCTATTGTTGCCGCCCTGTCACTGCTGTTAAAATTCATTGGATTTATGCAAAATTAGGACCCACACAACATCGTTGTAGCAACGGAGATCGGAAGAGCTTTAAAGTGGAAGCAAAAAGTGCAGAGAAACTAATGGACTGTGTGCTCCTTCCTAAGATGATGATCTCCAGAGAGCAGTGAAGGCAGCACTGTGAACCACGACAACTTGGTCAAATGGCACCGTTTCACACATTTAAGGTTGTGTTGACAACACTCCTCGCCCGTTTACTGCACTCCTGCAAACTGCATTCGCATTTCGTTAATAGATGTCGGGGTAAAACTCCCCGGTTGCTTTTGATCCAAGCCGAGACTAGAAGTCCAGATCTCTTCTCAATCACCTGATTGAGAAACATTTTCACACTTCTGCAGATCCAGAGCCATCTTACAGGACAGTGAGGGAAGCTGAGACGGTCCTGAACGAAGACCACCACACTGCGACATTATCCACTTTATGTTACTGTACTTTTACACATTTTATCCACGTTGGGTTTGAGACACGTGTATTACTTTAATATTGTTAATAAATTGCTTCCCTTCAGTTTGGATTTAAAAAATTATGTTCTGATTTAAATGCAAAATTATACATGTGACAAATAATCTAACAGAGCTCATCTTGAGCATCACACCGTCATGGGGACAGTCGTGCCTCCATTGTGGTGAGAGAATGCGTTTCTTTTCAGCTGGTCAGCATTTATTGGAAAATTGAACTAGACACTGGAAAATACCTGGAAGAAAAGTTGATAGAGCCTGTAAAGAATGTGAAACTAGAGCTATGGAAACCTCCAAGCGTAAACATAGAGCCAGAGCTAAAATAAAAGAGTTATCAAATATCAAAGCTTAATGTGTAAGCGTGACTCATAGTCCAGACCTAAATTAAATTCAGCATCTGTGCCAAAACTTGAAAATTGTTCACAGACACCGACTAATCTGACAGAGCTTGAGCTGTTCTGCAGACTCTCGAGTGCAAAGCTTGCAGAGACGTACTTCAAAAGATTTACAGCTGCAATAACGAAATGCGATTCTACAAAGTGTCTTCTCTTGGAGGCTGAAAACAAATGCAGGTCACACTTGTCGAACTTACTTCAGGTGGCTATCTTGGAGATTATTTATAAATTTATGGCTTTTTTAAAGACCATTATGAATTCAATTTAATACCTGTCTCATGACGGAAATGTGCAAAAGATAGCCCTGTGTCTTACATCGAAGTAGTTCCATACTTTTTTTTTGCACAGAATGCATGCAGCATCGTTACAGGTCGGAACTAGAACCGAGACAGTGGAAAATCGTCATCTCACTCAAACACCACCCCGCCGCCTCTCTTGGCTCCGCACGGTTTGCTGTAATTTTCAAAATTTATCAGGGCAATGCTTTCACAGGGGGCTAGTTACACTAGGGTGTCGATGTACACTTTTTAAAAACGAATTTAAGACATTTAAAGCTTTTTTGCGGCTGCGCTGACACCACGAAAATGATGCATTTCCACACTGTTCAGATGGAATGATTTATTCATAGTCATGATAGCATAATAAAACAATGAACATTGAAAGCACTGACAGCTGAACCCAAGGCCTCTCACACACAGCATGCACCAACCCGACCCCAGAGTTCAGGGACGCCAGGCATCCAGAGCACCAAGTCACTTTCCTGGCTTCTCAGAGTCCTCCTCCTCTGTCCCGTCCCGGTCAGTTTTCTCCTTGTCCTTTCCTTTTAAACCTTTAAATATATTTTGATATAAAAACAAGCCCACGTATGATGAATCGACCATGTGTGTGAAGTGCTTCTCCTGCTCCAGTCTTCTCCAGTAATCACCCTACGCCGCCACTCGGGGCTGCCTTGGCAGCAGCATGAAGATGACAGCGCCCCTCGCTAAACACCATCTCTTCCTGTTCGTGTGCTCTTCTTAGGGGAAGAAAAGAAAAACTGAACAAAACAAAAGATAGAAAATGGCGGAGTTGTGGGGAGACTGTAATAAAAAAAAAAACATTTACTGATCTCCCTGAAGAAAAAGAAATAAAAAAAATAATAATAATAAAAAAATGACACCTCAACAGTCCAATTAGTAGTAGTGGAGGGTTGTGGAGCTCTGTAGACTGGAGGCACTTTGGCACAGAGCGAAGCACCCCCCCTCCACCTGACAACACAGCAGAGGGTCGGGGGTTAGAAGGATGGAATGACAGAGCTGGCATGCAGAGCCACGTGGTGATGCATGGATACTGGAATGATTTAAAAAAAAAAAATCAAAAGGTTGGGGGTAAAGAAGAGAGCACCTGACAAACGTGGAGGAAAAGGCCAGCCCCTCCTCCAGTTAATGCCACGTTTCAGGAGGAAGAGGAGGAGGGAAAAAAAACAAGGAAAGAAAAAGGCATGATGCAAGTGGATGAGGATGAGGAAGAGCAGCTCGGACCAGGTTACAGAGCGTGAGCAAACAGCGGCAGGTGAAGGAGGACAAAGATGAGGTGTGAGGAAGCTGCTTGGCAAAGCTATACAACACAAACAGGAAAACAGTCCTAGTGAGGAAGCAGGGTGGAGCCTGAGGTCGACGGAGGGAACACGGTTTGGCAGTCCCTTGGTTTGGCAAGCAGGAGGAAGGTGCTGTGGTCCCTCTTCTCCTCCTCCTCCTCCCATGATCCATCTGTACAGGGCTGCTCCTCATCTCCCCCAAGTCCCCGCCTCCATAGCTGCTTTTTACAGGTACAGCTCCTTGGCTCTGATATGCTGCAGTTTCTCCCTCAGCATGCGGAAGGAGGGCCGCATGGCGGGGTCCAGGGTCCAGCACTGCTTCATCAGGTCGTAGACCACAGGCGGGCAGCCGTCCGGGGCGTCCATCTTGTACCCCTTCTCCACCCGGGGCACCACGTCTTTTAGTGGCTGAGAAACAGACACGCACAAACACACCGAGCAACTTTAGGGCCTCAGTCAACTACTCTGCCATTTATAGCCACGATTACAGTTTTTAAATCACATGCTTTGAAAAGCAGAAGTAGAGTCTCCTGCACAACCAACACAAACGAAGCAAGTGGTTTCTGAATGGTAAAGTTAACAACAAAACACTTGTCTTTTCCAGCAGCCATTGTACAGCAAAACCAGCACGGCAAATGTGCTGGAGCTTTGCTGGGGTTGCTTGGTAAGGGCGCAGTGCGACTCAAATTGGGAGGTTTTTGAAATGGCTTGCTTTCCAGACACCAGAAAACATTAACATATTTCTAAAAAACAGCTGGATGCTTTTTTTTTAAGTGTACTATTACTGTTTTTAGAAACAGTAAGGACCCAAATGAAATTACAAAAATATACAAAATGTGAATTTTGCATAATTTAAGATTGAAAGTGCAAACAGGTTTTATGACAGGTACAAGGTTATTAAATCAAAAGTATCAAATATTGACTGATTTCATGCAGCATTTTAGCATCGTTATTTCCTTAATTCTTCCAATCTTGATTTAAAATTAATGAGAGATGTCCTTTATTATTTTAAAAGATTTCGAAATTAAGGTTTATTATCTTTTAGAAAATGTAAACTCAAACATTTAATACTTTTCTAAAAATGGAACACAATTAAAGCAAATTCCAAACTCTGAGGACTGTGTAGGAAACCAGCTGTTTGTTTTTCCAGCCAAAATGATTCTCCTATTGCACAAAAATAAAACCAGACAACACTGGTCCCAGCGCTAAAGTCTGCCATCTGCTGGTTTATCTCAAATTTGACAACCAGAGATGACCAGCCGGGATACTTACAATTCTAGGGTAAGGCACGCGGCCGAAGGAGTAAATCTCCCAAAGAAGGATTCCATAACTCCAGACATCCGACTTGGTGGAAAACCTCTGTTGGGTAAAGACAAGCGAAGCGATTAACACGTTTTTACATGAAGTCATTCAGAAAGTGACACATAAACACTGCTGACATAATTAGCAGCGATTTGACAGGGTGATACCGCTGCTGCCTGAGGAGGCGCCGTCATTAAAGCAGAATGCGCAAGATCTGGATATGAGGATCCTAAATTTAGTGCTAGCTCATATTTGTGAAGCTTGTTTGTAAAGTTGAGATTTGAGCATCCGTGGGGATTATGTGCCCACTTTTCAAAGCAAAATAAATGATTTCCACATGACGCCTGCAAGACATTTGATAAACATTTGAGAAAACTTACAGAAACTCTGTAAATAATCTATAACACCATTATAAGTATTATGGGTTGCAAAGATATGTTCCAGCACTTGAATAAAATAACAGCTTGAATCAAATGTGATAACAGAGTTGAAAGTTTAAACAACCAAGATTTGTTGAAAGTTATCTCATATGCTTGGATTAAAAGAAGAGGTGACATATTTTTGCATTCTGTTGCCATAATTTTTGGCAAAATTTTAATGTCATTAATAACTTATCTTAGAAATTATGTATTGGAAAACAGACACAGTGCTGTAGTAGTTGCTCTGGAGGGGTTCACTATAAGGCCATGCTAAGAAAAAGTTTTACCAGTTGGTATTAGAGACTGAAACTTGAATGCACTGTATTAAAACTAGGATCTAATTTGAATGGATGTTCCTGAATTTGCCAAAATGATTGCGAAGAATTGGGATTTTTTTTAATTATGTAATTTTACCTTTCTAGATACATTTGTTGTGAACTGAAATAATGGAAATAAACTGAATTTAACTGAACTGATTCAGTTAAATCAGTTGAGCACTTAAGTTTAGAGCTATTTCCATTATTTTAAATAATGTAGACTACCTGAATCAGCTGAAGATAAAGTACCTAAAACAAATCAGGGATGTAAAATTGACTGGTTTCTATGGTTACCATGGTTCAACCTGCCTGAAAAGGCTTTGAGATAATATTTCGTATCTGCACTAATAAGCCCAGCGAAATGTTTTGTTTAGTTTAAATCAGTGGTTCTAACCTTTTTTGAGGTACCGAACCCCCCAGTTTCATATGTGCATTCACTGAACCCTTCTGTAGTGGGTTATATCCCCCCCCTCCCCAACACACCAAATAATTTGAGGTATTCTGATTTAGTAATGTAATTATATTAGTGGTATTACCTCCCCCACGCCACTAGAGGCAGTACCAATCCCGAAAAGATGCGACTAAGGAGCAGATTTAGACTATAGAATTTGGTAAAAACTGTGAGTTTTGCTGAAGTAATTAAAGACACAAGTTCAAATCCATGCTGAGAGTGGAGCTCCTTCAATCAGTGCTCCTCCGCAGCTCTGATTGGCTAAGCGATGTAACGTGATCCTCTGCAGTGAGTGATGGCACAGCGGCGCGTCATCACGACTTTACACAGGTGTGTCTTTACCTCCGCGGCAGAGGCTCCGCCGAACCCGAGACCGACTCACCGAACCCCTTGGGTTCGATCGAACCCAGGTTAAGAACCACTGGTTTAAATTAAAGAAAGCCACAGCCTGTCAGTGCAGATCTGCTGCTCACCTTCTCTCTTAGCGCTTCTGGGGCGGTCCACTTGACGGGCAGCTTGGCAGTGTCCTGTATGGAGGAGGCCTCCTTGGTGAGACCAAAGTCGCTGACCTTGGCGATGTTGTCGTCAGACACGAGCACGTTCCGAGCTGCGAGGTCTCTGTGGACGAAGTTGTTGGCCTCCAGGTACTCCATGGCTTCGCACACATCACTGTGGGTAGAAAGAAAAGGACAACAATATCATAGCTATAACTTTATTACATGAAAGATTATTACATGAAATGTGTGATCTGCTCTTGACAAGAGGAAAAGTCAAACATAGAGACAGAATATTGTGTTTTCAGATCCAATATCTTTGTCTGATAGATATTTTCTTCCTTTTCTTGCTTGATTTCATGCAAATAAAATCTATTTCTAATAAGAGAAGCCAAGTATTCCATGTGTCCCACTGAAAATAAGCCACTGAACACCTCACAGTGGATTAATACACAAATACCTTCAGACTGGAACATTTTCGCTCATTTCATGGCCTTTTTTTCCACAGGTGCTAGACGAAAGCACTGTCTTAACAACTGTTTAATTAAAAAGGGATTAAGTCAAAGCCTATATTTGCCAATGCAGCAGCCATTTTTTTCAGAGAAAACCATCTGAATAATCTGTCTGTCTGTAAACAAACGGTTCTGGAGTGCTTCCAGCCAAACGGCTGACGCCGTTCCCATGAAATTCTGCACAACTCCTGACAGCTAAGCAAACATTTTCAGATGTAAATCTAACCCAGACGAAAACTCACAGTGAGAACTTTAGCAAGCAGTCCCCACCAAGAACAGTCCGTCCTCTGGAGCGCAGGTAGTCCACCAGGCTGCCCTGTGGGATATCAACGTCAGTAAACTGCTGGATTATGAAAACATCAAACGATAATTCAGAAAAATAAACATGTGCAGCATTCAGTGCATTTAATCTCTAGTATAATCATGAAGATATCGATCATAATCTTTAAAAGCAAATGACTGATACATATTTAATAACTTAAGAGTTATTTATAAGAGAAACAACACACCCACATGCACACTGGTCTGACTGACCTTGGCCATGTATTCTGTGACGATGTAGAGGCTGCCCCTCTCCTCCACAATAACACCGAGCAGCTGCACCAGGTTGTTGTGCCTCAGTTGCCTTTGTAAACAAACAGATGGGAGAAAATGATGCTGTTGGTGTGCAAGAAAATACATAAATCCATTTAGCTGCTCACGCTAAAGTAAAACCTCATTAAGAAACAGAAACACAAAGAATTGTTTCAAATTACAGAAGAGAGAGAGAGAAAAAAAAAGCCTGATCTTACGTCATGACGGAGGCCTCGGCGATGAAGGCTTGTGCTGTGGCATCGTTTTTGATACACTTGACAGCCACCTTGGTCCCTCTGTAGTCTCCCACCATCACATCTAGTCATGAAAGACATGTTTACATGTCAATATGATGGGATGTCTTCCCCGTTTATTGCGATCACAGCTCTGATACAGGATTGCGGCTGTCCTGATCCACCTCTCATTTCTTGAACTTTTGTTTCCAACAAACCAGAATTCCTTGAAACTTTAAAAGTAGGGATGCGAGTTATAGAGTAAGGAGTTGAATATGCAAATTTATAACTTAAAAATCATACAATATGATTTGCAGAATTTTTGTCTTAGATTCACTCTGTTCACAGAATCAATGTAAGGAAGTAAAGAAGCAGCCAAGGTCTAAGGAATTGCAGGGATGATAATAATAATAATAATAATAATAATAATGATAATAATAATAAGAAGAACAACAAGAAGAAGAAGAAATCAATCTGCAGAATGACTTCGATTCTGTATAAAATTAAATTATAATTATATTAAAATAAAAAAAAAAAACAGTTACTCACCTCCAAACTCCCCCTTTCCAATTGTCTGAAGCAGCTTTAGTTCTTTTCTGTTCAAGGCCCAGCCACCTGCCAAGAGGGGCCAGAAGGGGCTTAATAACTGTAATGCAACATTAACGATATTATTTTTTGTCCCAGAATAATCAGAGATCTACAATCAAACTAATCACAAGATGTAATAAAATACGTTTCACTCTGATGAGAGCTCTCTTTGTGTCGACTTTTAGAATAAGTGCTGCGATAATCAGCCATGTTCAGAGGGATGCATGAAGTTCAGCAAAGGCACATGGAGGAGGAGGCGGCTGGTACAGATTAACTTTGACTGCTGGTGAAGCCCATGAGTATTCACACACAAAAAAAGATTAATCACCCTCGTGATTAATGCTATTAGGCTGTAGATGACAGCACAACCTTAGAGGGCATGTAGGGTTTGCATTTTACTCCATGCGCTTGCATGTGACATTGCGCTTACAAGGTTAATATGTCGGCAAGTAAATAAATGTTCCTGTGAGCCTCGGTGCCAGAAGCCTAGTGGAGTGGTGTGGTAAAAGTAGGGCAAACTTACTCCTGGAGAACTCGTCCTGCGCCGCCACCGTCCCTTCCATCAACTTGGGCTTAATCAGTCTGGTGCAAAGCCCATCAGCGTCTTTGGTGTAGTGCTGCGCACACAAGTTAGCACAATTAAGATGTCATTTTTAGGTTTACAATGTAAAACTACCTTGTTTTATATTTTATGAAGGGTTAAAACAGCAGGCATTAAGACTTAAGACATTGGGTGGTGCTTAATGAATCATCACTTTGTTCATATAATAATTAAGACGCTTGTCTTTTATCTGCAGACAGCTACACACGAAAATTGTGATAAAAGGAAAACTGCTGCACAACTTCGTCTGAGCACCGTATATTTCGCATCCAGATGTCACATCTGAAATGGAGCCATAAACAGGTTTGACACAGGTCACTTAAGGCCATAGCAGTGACAAGACAAGGCTACAATAATACACAGCATTCTGTCAGTACTCCAGCTAGACTGATGCGACGCAGCAGAGGGGAAATTTAGTGTGAGAGGTCAGTGATTATGAGATTTTCCACACAAAACAACAAAACCGTGTCATTGGGTCATGAAATCAGGTTGTACTGAGGTTCATATATTATCATGGCTGATAATATATGAACCTCAAGGGAGTAAGACTAAAATTTATAATTTTAGTCTACTTTCTCCTCTCACTTTTTTCCCCTTAAATAATTAGCAATGACAGAAAATATCTTTAAAAACTTTTTATTTCAATAATTCCTTCTCTGAATTGACCTGAATTCAAAGCTGAAACAAACAGATGCTGTAAAACACGCATGTCAAACATGAAGGTACTTCTTGATTTTCTGGAAACCCAAAAAAATCAGTTGATAAAAAATATAGATTTTCCAAAAATTAAATGTTCAAAAACAGAAAATTTAGATCAATCGATAAAATTAATACATCACCCAGCCCCAGATATTAGACAAATAAAAAATGGAAGTTTGTTGGGTTGTGAGGGAGCTGAAAAAAGGTTGTTACTCCAATTAGGTAACTTTAGTCTACAGACTGCAAGTCACCATTACAACCACCAGAGGGAGAGCAAGGTGCAGGAAGAAATACTCTGAGCTAGCTAGTTCTCATGCCTGCAAATGGATCCTCAAATATTAAATAAGAACATGTTCATGGACGATTATGCTATATCTTGGGTTTTCCTCTTGTTGAACTAACTCATTTGTGTGTTTGGTACAGTGTTTATCAACTGAAAGGCTCGAAATAGTTTGATTCTGCTTGTGTAACATGTTACAATTGACAAAAAAAGTAATTTACATAAATGTCTTAGCTAAATCAAGATCTTCCCGTATGTAATTAACACTGAAGGCTGTGATTATGAAGTAAAAATACTCAATGAGTTCATAAAAGACAATACTTCTCCATCATGCAATTATATCACTGCTACCACAGGCAGCCCTCTTTGCTTTTATCACATGCATAACATTACTGCGGATGCCGTAACTGACAACAAGCTGTCAGCAAACAGTATGTTTAGGGATAAATTGAAGGCAGAAGCCATATGAAACGTGCTGTGACCAATAATAACAGCAGAGCGCAGGAACAGACAGCTAAACGGAAAAACACCAAAGAATGTGAAGAATCCTATCTAAGGCTATTTACAGGGGAATGCAGACTGTCTACCGGATAAAGATATGGAGAGACTGACAGAAGGGAAAATGAAGGAGAGCGGGGAATATGAGGCAGCAGGTGGAAGAGTGAGATGGATAACAAAGAGAGGAGGACAAAAAGCAATATGCCAGGTATCCACGAGGGAACCCGAAGAGGGAAAGACTGACAGAGGCGAGGCGGAGAAAGGAAGTGGGGGCAGAGTCGAGTGTGGAGGGTGTGAACAGGATAGACAGAGATTGTGGGTGGCTGATAATAAGAATGCGCCAGAAATGGGGATGATCTCACTGCCAGCTGGCAAATTCCTATCGTCCACTTCCAGTGCCCCACGGGGTAAAAAGATGAGGCCCAATTAGAAGTGTGATAGCCGCCAATCTAGCCTCTCTCCCCCCTGTTTATCTGAGAGGATGAAAGAGCTCTCTTTCTCTGCCTGCCACCACGCCTCCTGTCTTCCCCTCTCCTCTCTGTCCTTCCTCTGAACCTGCCTTCAGATAGCGGGGCAGGAAGGGAGACGATCAAACAGCGCTCAGAGTATGTGCTCGAGTCTTGATGTTAAGGGAAAGGTGGACAGTGAGTGTGAATCCTTCTCGTTTTGAGTTATGCAATCATGTTTCAGCAAGAATAAATACCCAAACTTTAATATGGTGGCAAAGTTTGTACTGTGGATTGTGAACTAAACAATATTTTTTCAAACGCATTATTAGTAACAGTATGTTTCTTTGGTATTTCACCGGGAACCTATTACACTTCCTGGAACAGGTTAGGATGGTTACATGAGCTAAAACATGTTCACTGCATTTTCTGTTCAAAATCAACGCTAGATGATGAGATTTTAGTCTGCTCTGTTTTGAGCTCACTTCAGAATGAGCTGTTTTAGACCCTATTGTGACTTTAAATAAATACAAATAAGCCACACTCATTTACACTTACACTTTACAGAAAAACAGCTGGGTGTGTTTTTTTTTTTTTAAGCACTTGGGCTGTTTTTAGAAACAACAGAAACTCAAACGGAAATACAAAAACATGCAAAATGTGAATTTTGCATAACAGGTCCTCTTTAAAGAATCTAATGGGTTACACACTGTGAGCTACATTCTTTTTCACACATTTTATTTAAAAAGCACTTCTTTATAATGACAACTGAGGAATACAATAGACTACCTGCATAATAACAAAATCTAAAAAAGAAACAACCAAACAAAAAGAACAAAAAAAAAAACAAAACAAAAACAAACATCTGAGTTCAACCCTCACCTCAACCAACTGCATGAGATTCTCAAAGTACTCCTCCTCGTCGATGGTCAGTTTGCCGTTGTGGTAGATGATGCGGTAGTGCTCCACCTTGCCTTCGCAGCTGACGCACAAAGTGTAATCGCCAGGGTAGTTGGTGCTCTCCCTCACCAGGTAAAGACCCGTCTCTGGGGGGTAGAGGAGACGCTCCGCCTGCTCGCGAGTGATTTTCCCATGAAACCATCTAAAGCGACGGAGAAAGGAGAAAAGTTAGCAAAGCACAGAAAGGGAAGTTTGAAACAACTTCAACTCCTTAAAGTTGTTCATATTTTGTCATATTACAACCACAAATTTTAGTGCATCACATGACAATTTTATCTGAAATTACAGCAAAGTAGTGTATGACATCATGGTAAAAGAAAATGACAATTTACAAAACTACTTCTTACCAAAAATGGTTTCTGTTTACATGCCCTTCATTCCGCTACCCCTCAAATAAAATCTAGTGCAACCCAATTCCTCTAGAAGTCAGCAGAAGAGTAAATAAAATGTTTGTACTTTAAGGAGACAACTAGTTGTTCTGGGACTAAGAGGTACGATGGAGAACATTGGTGAACAAACAGCATCATGAAGAGGAAGGAAGACATCAGACGGGTCAGACATACAAACTGGAAGAAAGACAAAAGCAAAAGGCTAGAGGCCTTTGAATTGAGCTTCTAGTAAGTGAACAAAAGTAAACATAAAGCAAGAGCAACAATCAAAGCATATGGGCATGCTAATATGGCCCAGTCAAAGTCCATACCTAAATATAAATTAAGAATCCACGGCAACACCTTGCTAATTCTCAGATGTATCCAATCTGACTGAGGTTGAACTAGCCTACTAAAAAAAGGGGTTAACAGTTCAGCCTCAGGATACAAAAAGCTGATGGAGGCAGAAAACTTTCCCATGGTGGTCTGGCAGCACTGACACATGGGAGTCTGATACAAATGCGCGTTACTTTTTTGTTTGGTTGGAAATAAAAATGCTACAAGACAAAAGGATTGTCTCCTTTTTTTGTGTTTGGTAAATATTAGCAACGAGTTAATAGAGCAGGGTTTTGCTCAAGGTAGTGGCTGCTGGAGGATGCGATTACAACACAACCCATTATCCCACCGGATCAATCGGGTCTTCTTTTTGTCAGATGCCTGCTGAGCCAAGAAGACGCCTCCTCAGAGTACGTAAGAGCTAAAAAAAGAAGTTCTATAAACTGCATTTGGCCACAGTTTCAGTACTGAGGAAAACAAATAAAAAAAAGAAGAGAAACTATGTCAATGTCACTAAACTTGTGGAGTTTCAGCCGCACACAGTGATTTACTGTCTTTTCTGAAAGAAGAAGCGAAAAACAGGAGTGGAGCAGTAAAGGGAAGCCAGCAGCAGCGCTTCCACTCAGACCAGAGGCGGAGGCTCTCGTCTAAGAGATTCAGTGAGAATGTAGAATGTACCTGGTCAAAAACAACAGGAAACGCACACACACAAACGCACGCACACACACACACACACACAGAAATAAAGTCTGGGGGCAGAAGAGGAAACTGACATGCAGGCACAGCAATAACAGGAAAATACAAAGAGGCTTAGACGGGGCAGCGAGTCCGACAGCCAAGAGACCCACTCCTGAGTGAGGCTCGGGGGAACTGAGAAGTGACCTGAACTTTTACTAAATGGAAGAGGAAAAAACAAATTGAGTCCTCTGCTAAAATACAAAGGTGCTAGTTTCTTTTTTACATAAATGTCTATTTCAGATCAAATGCCTTATTTTAGAATAAAGTTCTGTAATGCTCTAGGTTGCCTCTAACAACAGATCAGGAGGAAGCACAGAACACTGCACAGTTGTTCATTGACTTCTGCCACTCATGGAAGAACGATTCCATGAAAACAGTTTCTTCCTTACTGCGTTTACTGGGTGGTAATTAACTACTCTAATTGATTTATCCTGTTTTTCGGTGCTTGCCTCCGTTGCACCCTCCTCTTCCTCAGTTCTTGGGCTCATGAGACGTCGGAGGTCTTCGTGGTAAAGCAGCTTAATGCAGGTTGAGTTGATTAGATCAGCGATTGCAGCTTCTCCGATGGACAGAAGCTCTTTAACTCCCACTAATCTGAGAGTGGACGACAAGCTGTGTGAACGGCCGCGGATGCGCTCAGTGGAAACACAGTGCTGCTTTGTTCCGAGAAGCCAACCGCAGTTTTCAGACGTGACATCATGGTGAAACAGGACGGAGTCCTAAACATGCCTGGTCCAACATGGAAGGAGGAAATTGGACAGCAGTGTTTAACGTCCTTGTTGTTATCATAGGATGGTGCCACAATGAGAAGCAGAATTCGCCCACAAGAGGGCAGCAGAGTGAACAGAAGCAATAAGAGCCCCCAAGATGGCATCTTCTGCTGAGTATCAACAAGTGAGTGTGAGAATGGGGACAGAAGACCACAGCTGAACCCTTATGTAACCCAGAATAGAGGGAGAGGCCGTTACTGAGACATCTGTTAGTGATTCATGACAACATTAAAATGTCCCTCTGCGTCACTAACAGTAATATCAGGACGGCTTGTGCGCAAAGAGAGCACGAAAATGTGGTGATATCACTAAAATATGACCTGGCCTCCCCATTGCAATACAAATATACAAAGAATTTTAATTAATACAATATCACACCACAAATGGTTATCTACGGTTTACAGTTATTAATTTTATTAAAGTCTATGTCAGATATTCATGTTAAAGTGCAAAGATGTACTTTTCAGAGACTGACATTTCTGAATTAAAAATATTTATTTACTGGTTTAATGCCAGGGTCTGCAGCCTTTACAAATGGAAGAGCTGCAAAATGTTGCATAACCTTTAGTGAAAAGACATTAAATATCTACTATAGGAAATCTGTGGTTTTGAGGTTTTAAAACAAAGAAAACCATAAAACGTTTATCAAGGGAGCATTGATTCATTTTCTTATATAGGATGTTGTTGCTTAAGGAGAATTATCCAAAAACAACAACAAAAAATAAAATAAAAAATAACATCTAGTTTCCAAAGAAAGAATGAGGAAAATATATACATTATAGATAGCTGTGCTATTCTGTTATGAAAATACAATGCAGGATTTATTCCATGGAAAAAGAAAATTTAAGAAAGACCTGCTATATGTATTTTTTTAATTTCTTTTAAGTTGGTTCTCCACTTTTTTAGCCAAATTAATAAGAGACATTCTGGAAGGTCCAAAGAGCCACTTGTGGTTTCGGAGCCATATAGGATGAAGACCCCTGGTCTAATGTAATGTTCAAATTCAGAACTGGATGCTAAAATGTAACTGTATCATGAATCTGCATTTCACTTTTTGAATTGAATTACTGAAATAAATCATGGTGATGCAGGCATATATAAACCTCACACACAAACACACTCCAACATGCCAGAGCTGGATGAGCCGGTGTGGACAGACGATACCAGGGGTGGCACGGAGAGAGAAGTTTGAGCTTTCAGCAGCAGCTCATGAAGAAACAAAGAGGCTCAAAAGTCAGTTCAAATGCTTCCTGCCAACATGATGTGAAAGTCAGCCACTGTAAATTAAAGCGGGAATGCTGACAAGCACCGGCACCATAATGAACTGATCTGATTTCACTCATAAAGGTGTAGATAGTGTAGATTACACTTTTCTTTGAAATGAACAAAAGGTCAACCCAAAATGGCAACTAACTGCTAAATACTATTTTAATTTTCTAAGATAATGGAAAAAAGTCAACATTTTCTCCAATTAGAAATTGAGCATAACAATAGCTAACTATAACTTCTTCCAACTTCAACTTGTGCTAACATAAGCAAACATTTTTTGCAGGACGTGTTTCCTTTCGCCTCACGAATGAACAGCTCATTTTGACGTCAGAACATTCAGGTATTTTCTGTTACTGCAGAAAGAGAGGCTTGGCTTCCTTGTCTCGTTTGATTTGCGTGCAGCTTTCATCATGTTGTCCTCTTTCTGACTTGCCACAATTTCAAAAAGAGCCACTCTGTCACTCTGAAGCGGCACACAGATGCTTCTGGCCTCTGAGACAGTGACACAGATGAAATGAGACACCATAAAGGAGGAATTTCCGCGGATTGATGTCGGAACTACGTTTTCCCGTCGCTGCGGGGAGCCAAACAACTTATTCACACGGTTGAGGCACAAATATGCAATATGCACAACCATAGTCACATCCCCGCAGTATTTCTCCTACAGGGTTTTTAAAAGTGTTGCATAAGAATGTCCAGCTGCTTTTACGACGCATGACATGCTCCATTAGCACTTGGGTACTTACGGCATAAGACTGAGCTTCCCTCCTGATTTCACTCCTTCCCGTTTCTGGACGTAGTTGGCCGGAATGGTGCCCTCTCTGCCCACTGTGTTTCTTGCTTTGTACCAGTTTGGATCCTAAAAGAGTCAAACGTCATTAGAGTGAACTTCCATCTCTGGTGAAGCTGAGGGCCCACTCATCAGACTTTGGCTCCTACCTGATACTCCCACTCTAGAATAATGGACAGAATGTGTCAATGAAATCTATCAGATGGGAAGATTAACATTCGTAAACCATTTAGAGATGAACAAGTGTACTATGGTCAAAATGGATATCCTATGTTAACCCTTTGAAGACGAGGTCTAAATAGCCATCCCGGCGTGGAGTCTCTCTTCTCTGTGCGTCAGCGCTCGGTATGAAGCCATGTAGCGATAGCTAGCAAAACTACTACTAACCCTGCACACACCACGAACTCTAACTAACACACTTATAGTCTAAAAAACCCATCGAAACACTCTTAGTAAAATCCACAGCATCACTGTGCCCTAGTCTCTTGCCGTATCCAAATCCCCCCCCTCGTCTCTTTCCGCGTGTCTCCATTCTACCTAGCAACAGACCGTCAACACATTTTTATTGGTTGTTTTGAAATGTGGTACATTTAGACCCCACAAAATAAGGCGGAAATGATCGATCTTATTTCTGGCTTTATTTTGAAGTAAATAACCACAAAACCAATATAAAAACAACACTTTTATAAAGTTTGAAGTCCGTGCTGTCCAACAGAGTCGAAATGAAAACTCGGATATGCGTCCATGTTATTACGAAGCCTTATTAATGCGTCACATGCTTGTACGCTGCACGGCGGGCAGCGACTTCATAGGGTTAATAAAACAACATGCAAGAATTTTGGCTTGATTTATTAAAAAAATGTAGTAAATAATTGGTTTATTTTGCAAGGAGTGTCTATTGACCATCTAATTTCCTTTTGGTGTTTAGAAGTAGTGTCTCTTCAGAATAGTACCCTTTTGTTCTCTCTTTGTTCTTGTTCTGTTCTATTGTTTGTTGTGCTTTGTTTTAAATGTAAATGTAAATGTGAAAGAATTTGATCACAGATGATATCAAGCTTTTGTAATCTCAATGTTTCAAAAATAGACATTTCACCGCCCACCCCCTAAAAAAAAGATTGATTATTGATTGTATCTCATCTTCTCTTTCTGCTCCTATCACATGTAGTAAAATAACTCCCTTGAAAGGAAGTATTCATTTTTTCAGATAGAGCTCCTTTCGAGGAATCATGAGACTGGTTTACACAATTAAATGTTGTCTAAATCCACTAAAACGAAGTCGGAGGATAAATCAACACCTCAAAATTGTTGTTGTGCTCCTGAAACCATTTCTAGTTCACTTTACAACATTATCCTGATGAAAAAAGTAGGTGTTAAAACAACATCCACATGGATGGCTGGACACAATGTGTCCTACCAAAAATAATTATTACACTCCGTTTGCTGGCTGCCCTTCTTCCCATAGCTCATCTTGGTACTATTCTTCAGGTACGCAATCCACAGGCATCTGATCGTCTATGATGTAAAAGGAAACATGATTCGTAAAACCAGGCCGACAGCTTCTATTGCTTGGTCCAGTTCTGATGCTCATATGTCCACTGTTTGTCATTTGGAGATAGACATCACCACAAACTTCAAATCACTGTGTGCATGAACTTCTTCCGCAATTTTAGAAGCAGTAGCTCATTCTGTTGTAATGGATCAGCCCTCACTCCCTGTGTGCATTCAAGAGTCTCACACCCTAAATACAAGGTGAATACCACCCTTATTCACACCTTAATGCTTGTCATTCCATTTAAATTGAGAATGGAACTTGTGAAATGAGCCTCACCCAGTAATTCTTACCCTGGTGACTCCAATGATGGTCAATACATCTCCTTTACAGAAAGGCAGGTCCTGTTCAGTGCCAGGTTTGAAGTTATACTTGGCAACGCACTCTGTGCCAGACGACCATGGCACCTGCTACACAGAAGACACAGAAAAAGCATCTTTAAACTGTAGTAGGGTTGTCACAATTTCTCAAATGGTTTAAGTATTTACATTGTTACATTGTTAAAATTCCTCGAGGAACTCTGTAGTGGATGCTTATTGTAACGTTACGGACAAACTGGAAAATACATTTTCTACCCTCCTGCTCACAAAAAAAAATGGGTGGCAGAGTGCACTGTGGCAGCACAGATGTGCGTCTGTGTGTGACGAAGGTCGTCATCAGGCAAATGTATATCAAATCTAATAATCAATATCCCAGTTGGTTTTAATGAAAGGCAACTCTAAGGAAGAGGGGGTTTAGCCTATATTTAACAGGAGTTTCAGGATCTTTCAGTTTTAGTGGTGTAAAAACTGAATGCTGCTTCTTATTCTGGAGATGCAGAGCAGACCAGAACCAGAAGACTTTAGCCTTCTGGAATGTTGATTATGGTGATGCAGACTATGGTGATGCAGACTATGGTGATGTGCTCCATTTTCCTAGTTTCAGTGAGATTGCAAACAGCAACTGACTGATTTTTTTAGGCAAACCCATGAAGACAGGAGCTTCTTTTAAATGTCTTATTTTTGCATCTTCTTTCCATTTTTTGTCATGTAGTACAAATGAAAGCTCAATTTCTAATAAGACAGTAATTGCTTATCTTCACTTCACATAATTCCAAACTGAATAAATGCATAGAAGGCTTTAAATAATCTATATGAAGCTGCAATGCTGATGTAATATGTTTGAATAATCCATAAGTGCAGACTACCCATCATGATTAACACACTGTCATCATTAAAACTGCTGACCTGATGTTTTCTGGCAGGTCTAATTGAAACCATTCTTAAATAATAATGTGAATGAGACAAAATAAAGTACTAAGCCGTAGTTGTGAGTCTGTGGCTTTCTTCCCCAAAAAAGTGAAGTTTGTCACCGACATGCTATCTGCTGGTGAGAAATATTATCCGGCAGCACTGACATGCTCTCCTTGGCTCTAGTTGGATTGGGTTGGGAAAATGGAAGAAGCACTGTTACGTTAAGCTCTTAGCACGGCATGTGACATTGCAATATAAATAAATTCTTTTACTACCCACAGTTTACCTGGTCAATATGCAATCTGCCTAGAGAATGATTAATAGAACCAGGTCAGCTGAAGATGAAGTCGTGATGGTCACAAGTTGGGGTGTTTTTTTAAATTTTTTTTATTATTCTTTCAGCTGGATGATTAAATGAAGATGTAAGACTTCAATCTCTGAAATGTTAACATATTTCACTGCAACATTAATTCAGAAATAAATGCAACAGTATAATGTAATGTAATGTAATAAAAGCTAATCAAATTAGGGATGCACCGATACGGAAATTTGCACCTGAAAAGATATCTGATATTACTTTAGCTCCCTCATATTAAACAGTTATTAATATGGCCTTGTTTTAATTAATGGGCCAATTCTGATATGCTAAGAATGACTGATATTGGCCAATGCTGATGTTAATGCGTTACTGGATATGTGAGTTCAACATTAGCCTGTCTGAAGCTCAAGTATACCGAAAGCAAACAAGACAAACAAAGCCTTACATGGATCCCAGACATGATGAGGGGAATTGGGCAGCAGGTGTCCTTGGGCAGGCAGTGGTCACTGTTCAGCTAGTAACATCAGAGCTGTAACACACAAAAGCCAACAACATTAGGAATGACGCACATTAATACAGAGATATGCACTTTTGTTGTCATGAACTCTACAGATTCTTTCAAGTACAAACTGAAATAAATCGCACTTATTTTTCCTCTGCTCATTGTTGTCCTCCCTTCCACCAAAAAAAAA